CTTATCCACACTAATGACCGGAGCAATCTAGCGAAGATCACAAAAAAGCGATCGTTTTCGCTACCTAGGATCTATCTTGCAAGAGAACGGAGAATTAGATGGAGATCTCAACCATAGAATACGAGCTGGATGGAAAGAGTGCATCCGGCGTGTTGTGTGACCGTCGTAGGCCACTGAAGCTCAAGGGAAAATTTTATAGGACGACAATAAGGCCAGCGATGTTGTATGGCACAGAATGTTGGGTGGTGAAGCATCAACACGTACACAAAATGGGTGTAGCGGAGATGAGGATGCTTCGTGGGATGTGTGGGCACACGAGAAAGGATAAGATTGGGAATGAGGATATCTGAGGTAAAGTAGGAGTAGCCGAAATTGTAGGAAAGATGAGAGAAAATCGGCTCCGGTGATTTGGACATGTGCAAAGAAGGCCGACTGACGCTCCGGTTCGAAGATGTGACTACGGGACAGAGGTCCAGGGCCGAAGGGGTAGAGGAAGACCTAGGAAAACTTTGGAAGAGACTCTAAGAAAAGACTTAGAGTACTTGGATCTAACGGAGGACATGACGCAAAACCGAGCGCAATGGCGTTCTAGGATTCATATAGCCGACCCCACTTAGTGGGAAAAGGCTTTGTTGTTGTTGTTGTTGTTGTTGGAAAAATTACGATAGTAGATTTCATCAAAACATAGTCACAGTACATTGATTTCCATCCATTTCCTAGATATCTGAATGAGATTCCTCAACAAGTGGATCAACGATAATACTTGGAGGAGAGAAATCATTATTAATTAGTTAATTAAATTGTTGTTACTTTTTATAATCTATTTTCCTCAAACAACCCAGATAAGCTAAGTAGTCAAAGCTTAATAAAGATTTCTGAGAAGGCTAGCTAATTAAGCATTCAGATCTTCTTTAATTTCTTGGCTAACAATCTTTGATCATGTGAGCTTTTGAGTATAAACATATGTTTTGCTTCATCGTTACAGGAAGGGCGCCGCGTACACGTGATCGAAAGAGACTTGAGTGAGCCCGACAGAATTGTTGGTGAGCTGTTGCAGCCTGGAGGCTATCTCAAATTGATTGAGTTGGGTCTTGAAGGTAAGCAATTGCTTAAAATTGTTTAATTTGCTAAACACATTGCCATAGTTTCTGTACTAATTGATTATTTAATACCAAATTTGCGTGCATCGATTTTGATCAACAATTCATATTTGTGACATGCAGACTGCAAATGAGTCCATTGATGCACAGAAAGTGTTTGGTTATGCTCTTTATAAAAATGGGAATGACACAAAACTGTCTTATCGCTTGAAAAATTATGCTTCAGATATCGTCAGGAGAAGTTTTCACAACGGACGTTTCATCCATAAAATGCACGAAAGGGGTGCAACTCATAAAAAGTAATTCTCATTTTCCATGTTTTCTTGGAGAAATTGTTCAGTGTGTGTCTAGAACACGGTCCGGTACATCAAGTGTCATAATATAATTGGTTGAATTTTTTTTTTTTCAAATTTCCAATCAATTGCATTATTATATTTGGTGTACCGAGTTGTGTTCTGGGCAAACAGAAAAATCTCTTGTTTTCTTGGTCTTTTGATTGTTTTGAGTAATCTTTTTCAACTTGTAACTCATATCCTTAACAGCGTGACACTGGAACAAGGAACTGTTACAGCCCTAATTGAAGAAAAGGGCACCATCAAGGGTGTTACGTACAAGAACAAGGCTGGAGAGGAGATGAGATCATATGTTCCGCTAACAATAGTTTGCGATGGGTGCTTTTCATATCTCCGCCGCAATCTCTGTTCTCCAAAGGTTGACAATCCTTCTTGCTTCGTCGGTTTGATCTTGGAGAACTGTGACCTTCCTTATGCAAACCACGGGCATGTGATCTTGGGAGAACCTTCACCCATTTTATTTTACCCTATCAGTAGTACCGAGGTTCGTTGTTTGGTAGATGTTCCCGGCACAAAAGTACCTTCACTAGCTAATGGTGAAATGGCCAAGTACTTGAAAACTGTGGTGGCTCCTCAGGTATCTATTATTAACATGAACAACAATGGATGACTGAACTAAGGAGATGGAAGAAGACAAAGAGAGAGAAAGAGAAAGAGAGATTGTATATATGAAACTTCAGAAAGATTACAATGATATCTCCATACAACTGAACACACTACTACTTCTTATATAGTCACAAAGACTAATTACAATATTACCCTTCTACCTTAATTACCATCGGATCAACTAGATAATGCCATGTGGCATTCGGTTATATTGGTTATTACTTCCCCCTCAAACTGAACAGCCAAGTGAAGTTTGAATCAACCAGCTGGAAACTGATCAGAAACAGCAAGTGCAAGCTGTCGGTAGTGCTTGACAAACACGGGACTATGCAATCCTTTTGTGAACACATCTGCCACCTGATCTGTAGTAGGTATATAATGGACAATCAAATCACCTCGTTGCACTTTTTCTCGAACAAAGTGATAGTCGGTATCAAGATGTTTGATCTTGGAATGAAAAACAGGATTGGAGCTTAAAGCCAAGGCACTAAGGTTATCACAGTAAAGTAATGGAGGGACCAAAATTCTCTGATGCATATCTTTGAGGAGAGCCCGAATCCAAAACAAATCTGCTGCATAATGTGCTAGAGCTTTGTATTCAGCCTCAGTGGAACTACGAGAAACTGTTGACTGCTTCTTAGATTGCCATGAGATTGGGTTATCTCCTAAGTAAATCACAAATCCAGATATAGACCTTCGGGTATTTATGTGTGCTGCCCAATCTGAATCTGAATAGGCAAGTAGATTGAAATCCAAGCTCTTTTTGTAGTGCAGACCATAGTCAAGTGTTCCTTTTAGGTATCTCAAGATTCTTTTGACAAGGTGCATGTGAAGATCTGTTGGGGAAGTCATAAACTGACAGACCATGTTAATAGCATGAGCAAGATCTGGCCGAGTAAAGGTCAAATACTGAAGAGCCCCTACTAGACTTCGATAATGACTTGGATCAGAGAGAGCAGTGCCTTCTTGTTCAAGTAGCTGAGCATGTGGTTTTGATGGTGTGGATGTGGGCTTACATGTCTCCATGGCCGCCTTCTTCAGTAAATCCTTAGCATATTTAGATTAACTTATAAACAGTGACCCATCATCTTTATACTGAATATGCAAGCCCAAGAAAAAAGATAATCTGCCCATATCCTTGAGATCAAACACTTCTGCAAGATTAGTGATTACTACTTGAATTTTTGTAGAATTAGAGCTAGTGAGTATGATGTCGTCTACATAGAGTAGTAGAAGAATAATATCGCCTTCATCGACTTTAACAAATAAACTTGTATCCGAAAGAGAAGTTTTGAAACCAAGAGATGGAAGATAACTCGTAAACTTTGAGTTCCAGGCTCTCGGGGCTTGCTTTAAGCCATAAAACGACTTAATGAGTTTACACACATGATTTGGAGAAGAAGTATCCACAAAGCCTCGAGGCTGCTGCATATAAACCTCTTCCTTGAGATCACCATGCAAAAAGGCATTTTTAATGTCTAGTTGTCGCAGATTCCAGCCATATTGGGCAGCTAAGACAAGAATAAGTCTTACAGTGGTGTGTCTTACCACTGGACTGAATGTTTCTGAGTAATCCAGCCCTTGTTCTTGAGTGTAACCCTGAGCAACTAACCTAGCTTTATACCTTGATATTGACCCATCAGGATTTTTCTTGATTTTATAGACCCATTTACTGCCTACAATGGTTATGTTGGATGGAGTAGGAACTAGAATCCAAGTACCTTGAGCCTTTAAAGCATCATACTCTTCTTGCATAGCTTTTTGCCACTCAGATTTACAAGATGCAACCCTAAAAGTCTTAGGTTCTTCAATTTCAAATATATCTGCTAAGAACGAAAAACCAGCAAAGCATGCACCAGTAGTTGGACCAAAACCAGAATTATCAGAACCTGAGTCCAGAATTTGTAATGAACTTAACTCAGGTAACGCTGTAAGATAAGCAGTATAATTCTTTCTTGAGATAGCTCCTGTTTGTAATCTAGTTTGAATCCCATGATGTGGTGGGTGTTGGACAGGTAAGACAGGTGAACCAGTATGAGATGAGCTGTCAGAAAGAGGAAGTATTACCTGTAGTTGAGTGGGATCGAGGACAGGAAGCAAAGGAGATTGATGTGGTGTATCACTAGCTGAAGAGTTGGAATTACCAGGTGTTGATGCTGATGAAGATGCATGACTTTGAAGTTGTGGAGAAGTACTGACAGATCCTGATGTCCCAACAGGATGAATAACTGGTGACTGACTATGCTCAGAATGATTCCTTGTAGCACTTAGGGGAATAGGAAATGGCAGAATCACAGTATTAGTGTTACCAGTTGACTTACCAGAAATATCACCACTGTGAGAAGACTTTAACTTTGCAGGAAAAATGGATTCTTAAAAAATGACATACCTTGATATAAAACACTTCTTGGACTGTTGATCATAACAGATAATGCCCTTATACCCCATTGCATAACCTAAGAAAATACACATTTTGGATTTAAACTGCAATTTATGACTGTTGTAAGGTTTTATCCAAGGAAATACAACAGATCCAAATATTCTCAAAGACTGCAACTCAGGTAACTGGTTGTATAACAGCAGATAAGGAGAACTAAAGGACAAAGTCTTACAAGGCATTTTATTAATCAGAAATACTGCATGTGCACAAGCAAAGTACCAAAACTCACTACTTACACCAAAAGCACTTAGTAAAGTGAGAGCAGTATCCACCACATGCCTATGTTTCCTCTCAGAAATCCCATTCTGTTGAGGAGTGTAAGGACATGAAATAAATTGCATAATGCCTTTTTTCAGCCAAGAAAGATGTAAACCTCTTGCTAGTATATTCACCTCCACCATCTGTTTGCAACCCTTTAATTGTCATTCCAAACTGAGTGCAAATAAAAGTATAAAACTTGACAAAAATTGCAAATACATCAGATTTGTTGCACATGGGAAATATCCAAGTAAATCTTGTATATTCATCAACAAACAGTACATAGTATCTAAAACCTTCCACAGACTTTACAGGAGTTGGACCCTAAACATCAGTATGAACTTTCTCAAAAGGAACCACACATCTGTTATTTCTAACCGGAAAAGGTACTCTAGACATTTTTCCTTGAATACAAGAAGTACAAGTAGTACATGTATTATCTATCTTGTGTACAACTTTAGACTGTCTTAACATTGCTGCCATTGTATCATGTGCTGGATGTCCTAATCGTTGATGCCAAATATCTGATTTCACCATTTTCCCTAAGTAAACCATTGGATCTCTTGTAACAAATTCTAGCCTTCCAGAAACTTTAACCACCGGAATCTGAAACAACTCTTCTGGTTTACTCCTTCCGTGATACACCACCTCCCTTGTCTTCTTGTCCTGCACAAAAAATTCACACTCATCACATATAAACCAACTATTATTATCTGCACATAATTGTTTCACTGAAAGAAGATTTCTGGCAATATTTGGAACATGAAGAACTTTACTGAGAACAAGAGAAAGATCAGCAATATGAATAGCAGTGGAGCCAATATGTGTAATTGGTAAACTTGAACCATTACCAATGGTTATATTATCAGAACCTTGATAAGAAGCCACTTGATTTAATGCATTTATATCGGCAATCATGTGGTGTGACGCACCCGAGTCCACAATCCACGAATCCGGAGGAAGGACCTGAGATGTTTGTTGTGCATTCATGGCAGATAGGGAAGATGGAGGTGGCTGTCCTTGATAAGTGTAATTGGCTCTATGGAAACAGTCAAGAGCAGAATGTCCTCTTTTGCCACATATTTGACACTCCACAATAAAACCAGGTGTTGTATTGCTCGTATTTATGTGAAAACAGTTCACTGCAGTATGCCCTCGTTTATTGCAAATTTGACACTCAATAACAACATTTAGCCTAGCTTCTGTATTGCCTGACCATGATCCAGTAACATTCTGAACTTGTCTTGACCCGGATGAATAATGACCATTACCACTATGAAACCCTCGACCTCTGAAATTGTTACCAGTTCTATAGTTGTTGCTATTATTCCTGTATTGACCACCATTGCCATTGCCAAACGATTACCCCCATTATAGTTCTGAGTCCTGAACCCTTGCTGCTGACCAGAATTAGATTGAGCTACAAGACCATATCCATATGATTGATCATGATGCCCTGGAGGAAGCGTATTAGATCCAAACATCTGAAACTCCACACCATGGTGATAAGCATTATTAAATGCACTCTGTGTTTGCTGACTAATTGTGCCACCTGTAGTAGCAGGTATATGAGCATGATGTTGAGAATTGGATGAAGATGCACCATTCGAAGATCCACTTCCATACATGACAGATCCCAAATTAGTAGTCTGACCAGAGTGAGAACCGTGAACATACATAACAGCCATGTTCTGAGATAGCAGATTCATTTCTCCTTCAATCTCCTTTTCAGTTCCAAGTAATTGTGCACGAAATTCCTGTAAGGTAATGGAAGATTCCTGTGCCAAGATAATAGTGCGAATAACACCATATTCCTTAGGTAAACTTGCCAACCTAGCAATGATAATATCATTATCAGAAACTGTCTCTCCTGCAGCCATTAACTGATCTCTTATATTCTTCAAACGCAACAAGTATTTATCAATACTATCTGCCCCCTTCTGAATCGTATGCAACTCAGTTTTCAAATGATTAACCCTAGACTTCGAAACAGAAGCATACCGTTCAACAAGATTTGACCATGCTTCAAAGGCAGTCCTGCACCCCAAGACATATTCCATTGCCTCATATGTTAGTGTAGCCAACAGCAGACTAATAAGAGCCATATCAGTAGACTCCCAATCAAGAAACTCTGTGGTAATCTCCCTTGTAATACCAGCCTATGAACTAACTGCATACTTTGATGGGCAACCAATCGTGTCATCAAAATGACCAAATAATTTGTACCCTTTAAGAACCGACTGAAACTGAAAGGCCCATTTGGCAAAATTATCATCTCTAAGTTTTATAGTCAACATACCCAACAAATGCTCAATCTTGAATGAAGAAGACGCCATTGAAAAAGATTCAATCAATCAAAACGCTGAATGAAAAAATTACCAAACAAGGAGACTGACACTCCACGATTACACAAGAGACTTCCAAGATTCACAGAACCACGCTCAAATAAGGAGATTGACACTCCAAAGCACAACACAAATCACACACTTCGACTAGAGACACTAAATCAGGAGATTGACACTCCAAAACACAACACAGGAGACTAAAACTCCAAGATTCATAGAATGAATAATACAGACACTAAATCAGGAGATTGACACTCCAAAACACAGCACAGGAGACTGAAACTCCAAATTCATAGAAAGAATGACACTTTCTTCGTTAAACCGATAAGTCCTAGAGAATGATACTCCAAGAACCAATACAGAAAGAATGATAATTGCAGAAATCAACACATCACTATTCTACCAAAACCCCTAAATAGTCGCTTCAATTAAATTTCAACAAATTGAACCAAAACCCCAAATACCACAGCTCCAAGAAAGAAACAAAAGCACCTGATTCGCTCCAGATTTTCAGAACGTCGATCCAGATTACCAAACGCCCATTCTTCGAGCCCCGAATCTCCGAACACCCAATCTTCAAAACAGCACCCAAACCAGCCGAAGTTTTCACCAGAATCAAGAATGGCGACGAGCCAATGCCGGCGATGATACCATATTAACATGAACAACAATGGATGACTGAACTAAGGAGATGGAAGAAGACAGAGAGAGAGAAAGAGAGAGAGATTGTATATATGAAACTTCAGAAAGATTACAATGATATCTCCATACAACTGAACACACTACTACTTCTTATATAGCCACAAAGACTAATTACAATATTACCCTTCTACCTTAACTACCATCGGATCAACTAGATAATGCCATGTGGCATTCGGTTATATTGGTTATTATCTATTATTTGCTTGACTTGTTAAGTTTCGATTCAAATGTGACAAATATTTATCAATTGAAAAGTACTAATCGAAGGACTTTGGTATTTAAGGTTCCCCCTCAGCTCTTGAAGTCTTTTCTAGTGGCGGTTGACAAAAGGAAACATCAGAACAATGCAAAACAAAAGCATGCCTGCTACTCCTGTTCCCACTCCTGGTGCAATTTTATTGGGTGATGCATTAAACATGCGACACCCTTTAACCGGAGGAGGAATGACCGTGGCTCTTTCAGACATTGTTCTTCTAAGGGATCTTCTTAGATCCCTATCTGATCTCAATGACGCACCAGCTTTGTGTGAATATCTCGAATCGTTCTACACATTGCGCAAGGTATAAATCATCAGATATGGAATATAAAAAAAATTCCATGTTTAGACAATATGATATGTTAATGTATACTTTGAGAGTCTGACAACATAATATATTAGATACCTGGATGAACAAACATTATCTCATACGTGAAATTTATAATTTGTTTGATGGTGCTGTTTGCGATTTCCACTTTGCTGATAATTATTATACTTGGTTTTCTTTCTGCAGCCTGTTTCATCTACCATAAACACATTGGCCGGAGCCTTGTACAAGGTATTTTGTGCATCACCTCACCCGGCAAGAAAGGAAATGTGAGAAGCGTGTTTCGACTATTTGAGCCTTGGAGGCATATGTTCATACGGACCTATATCTCTTCTCTCTGGTCTTAACCCTCGTCCGGTCCATCTGTTTCTCCATTTCTTTGCTGTGGCTGTCTATGGAGTTGGCCGCTTAATGATTCCATTCCCTACGCCTAAAGGTATATGGCTTGGGACTAGATTGATCTTGGTATGTTCACTAAAATTCCCAATAGTTCCTCTTTATCAACATGCTTGTCAATTACCGATTAATACATACGTAAGTTTTCACTTGAACTAAAATTTGGTTTTCCCTTTATTTTCAGGGTGCATCAGGAATTATATTCCCCATTATTAAGGACGAAGGAGTTAGACAAATGTGCTTTCCTGCGACAATCCCGGCATATTACAAAGCTCTTCCTCTTCAAATGAAGAATCGGGAACAGGCAGACAAATTCCAATCATACTCTTTCTGAACTGCCGGAGTAAAGTTTTCAAAAAAAAAAAAGAAAAAAGAACTACAGGAGTAAACTGACAAGAGTCCTAATTAACGTACATGATATGATTGTGACTGTAAATGACAAGGAAGAAATTTCTAGACTGAAGGAGTACTTGGAGATGGAGTTTGAGACGAAAGGCATTGGGGACAAGTAATTCTTGGGTATTGAAGTTGCCCAATCTGAACAAGACATATTTTTATCACGAGAAAGTATGTCTCAGACTTATTGACGTAGATTGGGTGGCTTGATTGCAACCTGCATCTCAGACTTGACGTAGATTGGGTGGCTTGATTGCAACCTGCATATATACTGATGGTTAATTTGTTATATTAGAAGATCAATTTATCTATATAGAGAGAGCTTTATTTTCTTCATTTCTCTATCTCTACAATTTATCTTTCTTGTTTTCCATTCTTTTCCTTCTAAATAGTTGCAACAATTTGAGGAAGAGAGTATGTATGTCCTTACTAGAAGTTATTGTTTTTCTTGTTGTGCAAGACTTTGTACCTATTAGCCTCCTACGAGGCGAGGAATCATTTTTGCCTCCATTTTTGGTTTGGTTATGTTCGGTTCGGTTTCGGTTTCTGTTTTTATTATAATTTTTTATTTATAAAACTTGATCTTTTTTAATATGAAATTTAGAAAAGAAGCTTGCATTGTTAAACTAATAATAAGAAAATTGAGAAGCTCTTCCAAGTTTCAAAGCATTTAAGAACTTTCCTCTATATCCAATGAAATATCCTCCATAATTGAACCAACTATGCTCCTTGAAAAATTCCAAGGCTTAGTTTCAAACTTGGCAACAAAGTTTCGCAAATGAAACATCATGGGCATCCATTCATTGTGTAAAGGGATTCAGTTTGGTTCGAGTTGGTTTGGTTTTTTCTTTTTTGGTTTGGTAATTTTTCGGTTTTCGGTTTCAGTTAGGTGTTTGGTTCGGGTTTTCTTGGTTTTCAGTTTTTTGAACCCAGCCTACAAGAAAGTATGTCTTAGACTTATTGACGTAGATTGGGTGGGTTGATTGCAACCTGCATATATACTGATGGTTCAAAATCATCACTTATAGAAGTACATATGTTGAGGAGTGTGGTGAGTTTTGGGAACAAATCATATACGTTTATTTGTTATATTAGAAGATCAATTCATTTATATAGGGAGAGCTTCATTTTCTTCATTTCTCTATCCCCACAATTTATCTTTGTTGTTTTCCTTTCTTTTCCTTCTGAATAGTTATGAACCATTGCAACACTTCTAAGAATAACTGCTTGGGTGACGAAGGGGAGAGAGTCGCGCAAAGGCCAATACCGTCGCCAGAAACATTGGGCGGCGAAGAGAGCGTCGCGCAAAGATCGTGACATCAGGCTTTGCACGATGGAGGAAAGCTCTTCGTCGTGCAAAATGATGATTGCGAAATGGAATTGGTGGTCATTGCGCGTACTGAGCGATGAAACTGGGGTTCGACCTCCTAGGTCTTGCGCGACAAATGTAACAGCCTGTCCCAGATTTTAAGAGTTTTAAAGTTTTAATAAAAGATTTTACAAAAATGCCCTTTGAGGCACGCGCATTATTCGAGGTTAATCGTTGTGTCGTGCCATCTAAGATTTGTTTTCTTGACATATTCTCATAGTAATCGTCGCTACGGACGTGTGGGCGCTGACGGTTCGTTATTTGGAGTTATAACGAAAAAGATTTTAAAGTTTGAAGTTTGGGCATTTTATAAATTTTATTATTAAAATTTGGATGGCCCATATTTATTGAAGAATTAAATGGATGGCTCGGA